AAAATGTCAGACTATTTTACATTACTGCAAGAGAAAAAAAACACGATCTGTTAGCGAAATCCCGATTTTGTGCATTATAACATGCGCGATGCGGAAAAACTAATGAGTTTGATCTTCAACTTGATGAAGTAAATAGATGGGCAGAATGTAATTCTTCATATGCTTTACCCTTCCTGTCCCTCTCATGCCCCCCCGCCTCAGTCTCATGTGACCTGCGGCCTGCTGTTCACATTCAGCATTATTATGTCCAGTGTTTTCCTGGGGGGGGGGGGGGNAAATTGCTCAATAATCCTTTCCATGCTGTCTGGTTGGCTTGCCCATTTGCACGGGCAATTTTCAAAAGTAAACACGTGACCTTCGGGCCCTCCAAGACGGTGGGGCGTTTAGTCGCTTGACTTTTCTCACACGTTTTATCCGTTCTCCAAACTGGTTATATAGGTTATTCTTTACACTGTTTACATTTTGAAGAATAGTTCATTCAGGTATGTTTTCTTCTCTATTTATAAGGTGTGATTTTTTTTCAATTAGACTGAATTGGAATTAATGCAACCGTAATACAAATACACTGTCAATATTTTCACTATATCACATTTGATGTTGATCATAAAACGGGCTAAGCTCCATAATCACGAAAACAGACTGTTATTTATGCTAATCAAAGACCTGAAAATGAGAGTGGGGAAAGAACAAAGGATCCCGATAATGTGCACTTTAGTACTGAAACCTGTCACAGCAAAGTTACCTGACACAAAAGTTGTGTGGCCTGCGACGGGGTTCGAACTCAGGTCTGTAGTGGTCAAGGCATGTCGGCAAGATATCGACTGAAATCACATGATCATGATCATCATCACATAAACGAGTTACAAGGAGCACCTCTAGTTAGTTCCAAGTTCATGCCGCACAATGCAAATCCTCAAACTTTTGGTTTCAAGCTCTGCTNATGGTGACAACAATACGAACATTCAAAGCTGTGCACAAAAATGCCCTTGATTTCAAGGTTGACTTTGATTGATGTGGTATTTCTCGAATTGATTGAGTTAGATATCAAATATAGATTATTAATATGAAACCTTATTTTATGCAATTTCTCTGGGTTGTGAAAGAATTTCATTTGGTTATCCAGTAGCGTTGCTATAATGGATTATACATTAGATAAAATAATGCCTCATTACAAATAAGGGAAATGACAAGGGTTGATGGAAATAATTTGGGATAATTCTTGAGTCATTCTTATTAGAAAGTATTGCGTTGTCATACTTGATACCGTTCGCGATTCTCATGTTCAAATCATTTTTTCTTGGCACTCAAGGTCAGGCACGTTTAATTGACAATCATGCAGTCCAGAAGCTACGGACATCGAAGTAGACAAGATATAAATTATTGTCCATACTTAAATAATTAATATGGGTGATAAATAATAACGAAACTCCCTTTGATCATAAAGAAAATATTTTAGTGCATCACAATCGGCCAGTACTGTATATGATAGCACACAATCAATTGCATTGTTGAACAAAATTATCTATCGGTGGTGAGGTTAATATATATTGAGTTCAACTATATGTCGTCCGACTCTGGGGAAAACAACACTAGACTTTAGCTTAATGAAACCCCAGCGATCCTGATCTAGAAAGCCTATATGATGGGAACCAATAGTTAATCATATTATGTGATTTTTAAATGTACGGTGTACGAGGAACTGTGCTAGATTTGGCAGGAGAACAAAACGGACTTGTGAATGACCAGCACGAGCATGTGACGGACGGACGGACCATATTTTGGACGGACCCAATTCACGAAGACGTGTCCCGGAAAAAGAGTTATTCGGGGTCATGATTACAGTTCACTTTCGTGCTGTGGTTGTGTCTAAGAAACTTATCGCATGAATGAGGACACGTTACGCACTCGTGATCAATTACAAACATTTGTTTTGTCAGCCTCCCACCACTTCTCGGACATGTGTATCCCCTCGGACCAATTGTGGTCATGACACAATCCGAATTCAAGAATGGTGATTTTCCTACCAGTTTCCATGGTTTTCTGTGAACTTCACATCTTTTGACATATTCTGTATGACAGGGAAGTACTTTTATGTTGTTGGTCCGTGGGGAAGCCTCGATATGATATGATTTCAATCGTTCACAGAATGAACAAGAGGATTGAGAAATTTGCATCGTAATTTTATCACGGAATAGGTAACCTCAAGTCAAAATATTAATCCGCTTCTACTCGAGAGAATTTTCCCATCCGTGTGATGGAACACCTTGTGAGTGATCATAAATTCTTTGCTGGTTTACTCTTATTGAATTGAGTGAAATCGTACTACTCGAAAACCTTCACTCGATAGATTACTAACCCAAGCGGAGCACAACCACTGACCAGGTTTGAGCACAACTGATGCAACCCCCATTTAAAATTATTTTTTCGTATGGACATGTTTTGGTGAAAATTTCGAGTAGTATGATATTCCGTTGGGTTAGCTTTTAATTCGTTGTTTGCTATTTTGCCAAACTTGATCGCTTATTAGGTGCTGCTCGCGAAGTATCGATTTTTGACCTCATTAGCTTTATTGACAATTTTACTTGGATTACGGTGAATATGGATGGATACGGAGTCACTTGATAAGATGATATGTAGGAGCTCTCTTTGCCTGACAACCGTTTTAAGGCCAGGCATTCAGAAATGCTCATAGAAGAGTAATTATGTATGTTATATCAAAAGGCACCGTATGAGGGAATGTGAACAGAGTAATCGTTTGTGTATGAATAGGAAGATAGCTCTGAATATAGTAGAATCTAATCCAGTGAACAAAACAAACGATGAAGAGGATACAGAACAGCTTAAGTATGGAATTTGGTCTTTGTGTAAAGTACTTTATTTCACCTTTTCACCCACGTGTTTTGAACTTTGAAGAAATCCATTGCTCAGAAGCGGGACTCTGCTAAAGGTCATTCGGCTTCATACAAAGTCGAGTTTCTGAACTGTTCCCGATT